CTTTGCCTGTTCGTTGCCAGGGATCCCTATATGTGGAGGTATCCACACTAATTTCTCTAGTTGTGTTTGTTGGATAGCTTTTTAAGCATTTGGTAAGTTCTGGCAAGGAGGGACGTTTCTCATGATTTAGTGTTATTTATTTGTATTGATGTTATTATACAAACGGAGTCACTAATGATGACTGCATTTGGGATGTTAATTTCTAATTCCTAGTTGAATGCTTCATTGATAGCCAAGAATTCATTTTGTTTTGTAGAGCAGTGGTCTGGTAATCCGGTTATTATTTGTATGTTGAGTTCTGGGATTACCACTGCTGTCGCTGTTATGGTTGTATATTTTAACGAACCTGTGGTAAGTGTCTGGTATATCTATTTTAATATTTGATTTTAGTTCAATGGGTTACCAAATTCGGTGGCTCTGGTGTGGATCCTTGATTTCCGGTTTACACAAGGGGCTTGGACAAGGGGAGTTGTGTATTCCTCCTGTTGTTGCAAGATAGGCAGGTGTTTCCTCAATTCTAGGATTTGTTTTTCACCTGGAAAGTTTGGTTCTAGGTTTCGACTAAAGGTTTTGTTGCATTTGTTAATAGTTAGTTTTGCAGGATAAGGAGTAATGCTGATGGAGTATTTGAGTAGAATTTCTTGCCTTCTCAGTGTTAGTGGTAGTTATTCGTTGAGTACTTGGAGTTAGTCAAGTGAGTTTAAGGGTAGAGCGCCAGTGCAGACAGTCAACTCATTTCTTTGAATAACATCCAGTTTTTGTTAGAGTATGGCTGTTTAGTTGAGTTGTAAAACTGACAACCGTAGTCCAATTTCCTATAGATAGTTGCTTTTTGATTGCATCCCATATTGTTCCAGAATGTTTCTTAATAAGTTTAGATTTTTAATGCATTTTCTACAAGGTGTTTAATATATTCTTTCCAGGCCAGGTTTCTAACAAAATACAATGATACCATGTAAATCTACTATATCATAATTTACTCTGAAATCCCTCACTTTCTATAACACCAACATACCATACTCATATTCTAAAAATTCCCATCAATTATTTATTTGTAGTAACTTTTACACACATAAACGCTTTTCTTTAGTTTAGTAATTTAATATTCATCGAGCATAAACTAGACTTCTTCTAATTACATATTTTCGTACATGATTTGCTCTAGTATCCAGATTAATTATCTTCTTGTTTATCTGTTTTACCTTATCATCAAATTTCATATGGCGCAGTGTAAAGCTATGTACATTAGCTACATATCTTATTCTACCGAGTTCTTGATCAATATTAACTCTATTCTTTATATTATTTGATTATTGTATAAGCTCGTTTATCTTGCAATCAAACCCTTTAACCGATGATGATATATCAGAGTTTTATGTTATCCTTTCGCTTGAGGTTTTAACACCGACTAGATAAACAAACTATGTGCGATGGTTAGCGATCTTATTTTTGACGGCTCGTAAGAGCGATTACATGACAATCATACGCAGACCGTAATTTGATTAATCTATCACTCGTTGCTCTTAATGTGGTCCTTAACGCGGCATTACTGTCGTCCACGTACTTTTCCGTTGCAGAGTTATCGTCTAATTTCAGTTGTTACAAACCAGTAATTCATATTCCAGTCATGATGAATAAACCAGCTAGTGAATAACGGGGTATTTTAACAAATCTACCAAACTCTTCAATTCATATATTCAAGTTTTTTTTCGTTGGTTCCACCAAAAACTCTCAGGATAATATCGGCCCACTTAATATTGCTTGTCTTTGCTGATCCTCAAAAACAGCAATTTCATTGGGATTACTTCTGGGAGACTAATAAGATCAGCAAAACTCATGTCCCGTCACAAACGCAGACAGATCAACTCTTTACATGTACATTTATGTGCATTAGCTCTTCTGTAAGTATCTACCATTATGTACTATTTACTTGTATTAAAAACTACTTTTGTATTCGTGTACATCCTTATGTGGGAACGTTGAAAAATTTTGAAACGGTGTCAACTTTAGCAAGTGCTTCTGGACCGCATATAGATGGATCCGTTATTGTCTGTGTTGTAAATGTTGTATACCAGATCGGAGTGCTTTGCATTCTGCTACTGATATATTGTACAACTAATTTTGGTGGCGCCAATCCATATAAATCATAATAAACAACGCTATCTGGGTCAAGATCGTATGCAGCCCAACGAGTGTTTGACCAGAACGTCAATTGAGATAAATGATACCTGTTTCAACATGGTTCGGTTGCTCCGGTAATTGATAATGCATGACAATACCTCTGAAGTTTTTCATGTTTCATCGTCGATCAGCATCAAGTAAATCACAATTTTTCACGGAACTTTTAACGAAGTATCCATACTAATCTCAGACCTAGACCAAACAGCCTTCTTGATAATCTTAACCCTCTTCCTTTCTTGTTTGGTGTTTATGTTGTGTTCTGTTGACTTTTTCAGTGCCATATCGATAGCTGTTTCAACAGCTCCTCGTGAAGATGATTTTACAACAACAGGAGCCTCTTCTGAAATTATCGCTGGTAAAGCTGTTAGAAATGGAAATATACAGCCGGTTTTGATCGTGTCGTTAAAGGCATTCACAGAAAGATCAAGTCGAACGTCAGGTTTTGATTTCTTGGCGTCACTGAAGTGTTTGAGCTGACACTGAATCAACGATAATTTATTAGGGCCCAAAAATCTTTTAATCTGATCAGATATCATAGTAACATTGATGATATAACATTATAACATAATTAATGATCTAATTATAAATCGATTGCTCTCCTATTGCATGCTTGGAAAACACTTGCATATTTTCTACGGGCGCATCAATGACTCTCATTTGTCCACCAACGCCTTCAAGCAACATTGTATTGTCTGAGAGAATAAAGTAATTGCTCTGTATCCTGCAGAGTCAGCAGGTATATCATTAACAGTAGCTCGCACACGAATATCAACAACAGATCTCTGAACAAATCCGGATGTTCCAGTGAGAAATGATAGACTGGATAAAGCATTGAGATATCTGCAAACCAGTCAATAATCTGATCACGCCTCATAAATCTCATAAAAATATGATACTTCCGTGCTACTTTGTTTCGTTCTAAATTCAGTATTATATCCTTTGACGGTTCCAGATGTCTATTAATCGTTAAGTTTTGTTTGAGTTTTTTTTATCCTTTTAGGATAAATTCAGCGTGTGTTTTCTTAATCACATTTTAGTTTTCAGGCAACAAACTCCATCGCTTCAGGGATTTTTTCCACGAGCTTTCTCAAATCTATCAATTGCATGCTTTATTTCTTCCTGTAATGGTCATCGAGTAGCAGCTATTACAGCTGGAAGATCTCGGAGAATATTTCTGATATCTTAGTTTTGTTTTATTTTTTTCAGTTGATAACGATGTTTGTTCCAACGATGGAAGAGATCTATAGTGGCTTTTGTGGCTGGTTTAAATAACTGTTCTGTAACCTCTGTAAATTGTACAAGATCATCCTAGCATTGTTGCGTTTGCTGTTTGGCAGAACTGCGGACAAAAAGATGCTTCTTTATTGCATCTAGTCTTTGTCGAGCTGATTATGCGTAGGACATTCCATGGTATGCGCAAAATCACTCATCGTTACTATTACAACAACAATTTACGTACAGATCATTACGTAGGTAGATTTACAAGGTTTTGCTATATTATAGAAAAGTAATGTCTTTTTCAGCTGAAGCGAATTGCTGAAATCTTAATTAAACTAAATATTTAGATATTGCCCTGTAACATATCTGATTGCCTTTAATATGCCTATCCGTTAATAATAACACGCATGGTTTCTCATATCAGGTTACGTGTCTTAGTGAGCTAAATAACTTTGCAATATTAGTAACTCTCTTTTATTTAACAAGGTAAAAATCGATAATTATATACTAGTTAGAGAAATCTATACCTGTAATATTAAATATAAATTTTAAAATACTAGAATACTTGATAAAAATCATATGATTTAAATGCGTGTGAACGTTTAATGTTTGCTATTTTTGTATATCTGTCTGTTCACAAATATAATATACTGATATATTCTCTGTGAAAACGTCCCTTTTGACGCAGGATGTTTAGGAACATTCTCGAGTATAATGATAGAATTGTTTTGCTTTACCAAGTCTACGTATGGACTACAGGTATGATTATTCACCCACTCAGCAATATGCGTAGTACAAATTTAGATATATTATTTATTTATTATAAATAAAGCAATTATGCATTTTATTTCAAATGAATAATATAGACCATGGGATAGTTATATATTATCTAAAACGTTTATTTATCATCAGTATGTGTTTATATTATGTTTAACACATGTTTCTCAAAGCTGCATCATCTAGTCGTAATGGCGTTAGATTACAAAACCATTATTGCTGTGCTTTGTGGGCTCAAACTCCGGAATAAGCATGTTGCCGGCGAGATAGTCCTAAACTTATGGGATGGGCTCTAGACTAGCTTAGAAGTTAATCTGACAGTCAGTGATAATATATCGTTAGCCTCAACCCCAATAGAGGTTGCGGTTTTTTTACCGTAGGGATTTCCTTAAAGTGTGAGTAGGCGTAAGACAATTATCAATGCTTAGCAAATATCCGACCCTAGAGCGCGTGACTGATAAGCCTGGAAGTTCTTTTCTCCGAAAATGCTAAAAAAATCATCAAGGTATTAAAGCAAAAATGCTAATAAAATCAATAAAGCAAAATGCTAATAAAAGCATTAAAGCAAAAATGCTAATAAAAACATTTAAGAAATTATGATAACAAAGGTATTAAAGCATGAAGGCAAAACATTCCAATAAAAATTTTATAAAAAATATTTTATTTGGTCATCAGGCGACTAAATATACAACCATGTTCAATTCATGAAAAAAACAATAACAGAGCCACGTGGACAACTAGTTTTTCTATCAACGACTGCTTACTGAAATAGAGCCTCGTACTTTTTGGGCTATTTTCACCTGGTTGATTAACCATTCTTTGCTAACTACTTCGGTAGCCTAGTGGTTAGAGTCTTTGCCTCGGATGCGGGAGGTCGTGGGTTTGATTCCCGGTCTAGTCATCCAAACGACTTACAAAAATGGTACTAACATTTGCATCGCTTGACGCTCAGCATTAAGAGGTTAGTGTTAGAACTGGTCGGCCTGGTGTCAGGATAATGTGAATGGGTGGGACATCATGCTACATGTCAGCGGCATGATGAACCCAGTGCTAGAAATCACTATGAACTGCCACACTAAAGAAACCGTAGCGATATGACTGAAAAGTTGTTAAAGCTACGTTTAAAATCATGATGACATCGCATCTGCCTTCTTTGCTATGTTGTTTATCTTGTGAGTAAAAAATCTAATGAAATATTTACATTTTATGGCACATAAAAATACATTATGATGTGTCATATAAAGTTTACGTTGCCATGTTTTAGTCATTCCAATTGTTTTGCGTCATTTTTTTTCACATATGTTGGGCTAACTTTTGGTTGGTTGACCCACTCATAATGGTCCCCCGAAAAAAAAACATAACATAAAAGTAAACTATTTCAGCCACGGCTTCTGATTAATACGTGTAGATAGGGAATTGGTACATAATAAACAAGTCAAACAGTCAAGGAACGAATCAGTGTATATCATTTTTTCAGGTATTTTGCTCACAATTTTCATCATTCATACCTTGACACAGAATAAGGCTATAAATAACTTATTCGTTGTACAGGCCACGGGTTTACCTGGGGTTAATCACTCTGCTCCAGGTAAAGTGATTATGAAATTACATGCAGGCTGAATGTCACGGTGAAACATGGATTACATGAACATTTGACCATAACTATTAGTCTTTCCTATGAATTTAAGGTTGTTACATTGTGAACGGAGACACAGGTCATTTGGATTTTGTCAGAGGTGGGCGAACCTTCCACCATCATCTCAAAGCTTTATTTTGTTTCATTTATGAAACCTTTATCGGTTTTGTTATGTCGGTTGATAAAGCTTTGTTACCATATTTGCTTTGTTATTACCATTTTAGTAATAAATAGTTTGGTATTTTGTTTTAGCCTATTGTTGATTATGCGATCCTATTGTAGCCTGTTGGATCCTATTGTAGCCATTTGGATACTATTATAGTCTATTTGATACTATTGTACTTGTTGGATCCTATTGTAGCCTGTTGGTTCCTATTGTAGCCTGTTGGATTCTATTGTAGACTATGCGATCCTATTGTAGCCAGTTGGATCCTATTGTAGCCTGTTGGATACTATGGTAGACTATGTGATGCTATTGTAGCCTATTGGATACTATTGCAGACTAGGGGAGCTTTATGTAGACTGTTGGATAATGGACATTAAGGGAGCTTAGTTGACAATATGGGATCCTAATGGACATTAAGGGAGCTTAGTGGACATTATTGGACATTATTGGGCTGACGTAGTCTTTTTGGAACTGACGACGTCTTATGTGATATTCAATGTCCGATGAGAACTGACTATAGCTGTACGGGTTTGGATTGGATGTAGCTATCTGTATTTCATCATGCCGTCTACGTCTATGTGTATGAATACATGTATGCATATGAATAAATACATATAACGGATCTGTGATGTATATGAACATTGATAGATAAGAAATGGATCTGGTGAAACTGCAGAGTTCCAGTTAGTTTATTAAATAAACTGTGGAGTGACAGTTTGTCAAGTACATGACTATTCCAGTATAACCTGTAAACAATACGCAGTGATGAACATGTATGTACGTTAAGATGTTGCATTGGGACAATTGCAGTGATTGCGACCATGTAATGTTAGTTTCCCCTTTATCTTAGGACATAAACAAGAATTCCCAAAACAAATAGAAAGCAAACACAATATATCACCTTTGAACTTTTATAACTACAATACTGAAATTTTATTCTGCATCTTTCTTCTGCATCTTCACCAGTAACTTTATGCGTCTGAAATGTATAAATAAATTAACGAGTCAACCAACCACCCACCACATAATTAATTGCTTAAGTGACTCACTGGATAAACATTGCGAATGTAACAATATTATTATCAGTGCCTTATTGCTGGCAGGAAATGGAAACGCACTTACATGATTGAATGTATCAATATATCTAGCTACCTAGCTAGCTTGCTCTCAGTATATCTGTAAAGTTGCAAATATTCTTCAACGACATACGAATTCATGACAAGCCATTTAGTTACATTATGCATAGTTGTGAATTATGCAGTGTCCATGTTTCATTTGAAATATTTACATTAAGACTGATAATACCAATTAGAATGGAATCGTAGACATATTAGCCATGTCCAATAAACTGAGGAAATTCTTCACGTTGCTGGTAACTATGTTTCATGTTTCATATTCTAAGTTTAAACTTTTCTAAATGTTCTTTATTCTATTTATAAGATGCATGCAGTCTACTATACGCTCATTTGGCATATTTTGATTAATATTTGTTACTTTATAAATTTGACCCTGTCGACAATTGCTACTACTACTTCTACTATCACTAGAAATTCCATTGCTGTTCATATTACTACTAAACTTAAACTCAATGATATAAATGTGTCCAATGCATTTATCGAGGGTATGTTCTTTCAAAATAGCGGCACCAGATATACAGGATGAACATTGTCATTTATTTATGACTAAGAAATAAAATAAATAAAAGCTAGCGTTGCCTTTGCGAGTTTATTTTAACCATTTGTGTGTACTTTGTGTAACACTTTTTCTACTAGAATTTCTTTAAGTAATCAGATTAAATCTTCGTAATTGGTATTTACAAATTTGGGTTCATAACTGATGTTCATGAGTGTTCATGCCGTTAAGACTAGTACGTTCTTTCAAGCGCCGACAATTTTGATTCTGTGGATAATGCAATATTGCCTAGTCAACCACCAATCAAACAAGGATGCAGTCAGTCATTCAGGTTAGACTTTCAAAATACCACCAAATAATTTCAATAGACAACTGAATACTCACCTGCAGATTATATTATCATCCTCATCCCTTTTGCATATCTGAACTGGACTGAGATATGCTTCAGTCCTTTCAGCTGTAAAGTGTTCCAGTCCAGGTTAGAAAACAGCAAATAAGTTGTTTTGTTTTAAATATAACTAAATTCGAGGCAGGTAAGCAAAGTAAACAACATGAAATAAATAAATAAAAAAATAAATAATATTATTAACAATAATAATGATAATCATTGTTATGTATATTTAATTTAATTGTTTTGTTTAGCTTGATTTTTTCCATTACATTAAATTTGAATTTATAAATTTATTATATTTATATATAATGTACATCTTGTCAATGACATGCAACGAAATTTTTATATATAACGAGTATTGGTTACAACGATTGGCATGACACTAATAAAGCGTATATACTATACATAGAATTTATTTATATCACATACAAATACACAAGGTCTTACCCGCTATCAAGTACTTTGCGTCTGTTGTAAAGCTGACTGTACACGGGTCATTGTCAGTTATCATGAAAAACGCTTCATTTCCACTTTGAAATTGCATTGCAGACTGAAAACAAACTCTGGTGAAGATAACTTTATACATAAAGCACATACATATTGTATCCCTTATTTAGTATTGCGAAAGAGATATAACATTATTTTTTTTTACAATAATTTTAGGGGAATGTAAGACAATTTTACCCATAACAGACTTTATGCTGTGAAACATGAAGAAAGAGGTAGGGAAATTTTTATTTATACACCTTGTTATTTTTAGACCTCATTGACTGAGAACAATATTTATGTCTTTTAATCAAATGTTTGCTGAATTGGTAATGAAAATAAGATATTTGGCATTTGTACATAACACACAGACACACGTAAATAGATGTTATTCATTACCAAAGCATATGTATTTTGCTGGAGATAACGCTCTGCGTGAATAATAGATACCCGTGTTTCCTGCATTTCATGAGTATTTAATGTATGTTTGATAGACGTTTGGGCAATTTAATGAAAGATTTCAGAACAGCATCAGCCATCTATGGTGTATGTGGTAAACTTTCATTTTGTGCTTGTAGAAAAGGATGGTATAAATTAAGTTTGTAGATGCTGATGTTGATGTTTTAATAAGGATTAACGCCATTTTCTGCACAATTTAGACCTATAAGGTAGCCAATATAAATGGTGGAGGAAGAAAACTGGAAGATCACGGAAAGAACGAACGACCCACGAGAAGATAGTAGCATGCTTTCTCTTATACCCTCATTGACCGAAACATGGCTCTAAACAGCGCATAGGTGTGATGGCAGTGATTCGTAATGTTGAGCGCTTTAGACCAGTGGGCCACTCAGTACCCCTATTTGTGCAGTAGAAAACAATATATGCCTATAAATACATGCAACTAATGAAAACAATTTAATGACTAATCTTTAATTTAAAAAAATGTCTTATGATTAATCAATAATGCAGGCATGTCAAATGCCTTGATACTCAGCAAATAAAATCTGTCGCTTTTCTTTCCTCCGCATGTAGTAAAGATATTAATCCTCCTATCTATATGTGTTAGAGCATGTTAACAATCGTAGTACAAAAAAGTAATTCCTAACATTTTCATGAATGTAGCTTATTTGTTGGAGAATTATAACGGATAATTTTCATCATTACACAAGAGTTGTTGAAAAGTTGTATCATTGTTATATGTTTAACGTACATTAGAGTGCGAAAGACAGCTGTATATTATAATATACCTAGTGCTCTCTCTCTCTCTCTCTCTCTCTCTCTCTCTCTCTCTCTCTCTCTCTCTATATATATATATATATATATATATATGTATATATATATATATATATATGTATATATATATATATATATATATATATATATATATATTGTTACGTGAGAAAGGCTCGTACTCAGTAACAAAGAAAAGAGTGAAAGCTAACATTCATTATAAATTTTAGCAAAACAATTTATTTTCCAAGACAACAATGAAATAATTGGTAAATAGGACTTAGTCTGTATATATGATTCAAATGCGATTAAAAGAATAAAAACACAAGCCCAATCACTAAATAATCTTATAAATATCCA